TTTTTGAAAATAAGATCTTTTAGTTTTTTAATAAAATTTTATCAAAACAAATATTTTTTTTCTTAATGTTTAAACTTTAAAGGGTAAGGTAAATAAGCACTTTTTCTTTTACCCATTATTTTTGGACTATTTTATTTATTATAGTATTTTGTTTGACATGCACAAGCTTAAAAGGTATGAACACAAATTTACAACTAATGATTAAAATGTTATGACTAATGATTCATTTACATATAAATTTTATATATTGTATTTATATAAAATTTTAATTTTTAATTATTTATCTATTAACTTTTAATAATTCAGATTTATTTATATTTATTAAAAATAATTATTTTTTAACTAAAAAGTTATGACATATCTTAACTATTAAAAGTAAAAAAATATGACATATCTTAACTATTGAAAGTAAAAAAAAAATAACATATCTTAACTATTGAAAATAAAAAAGTAAATAATTGAAATTTTATGTATGTATAATGTATAAAACTAACTAATGACTTGGTAAAAAGAGTTCAATTCTTTTTAAATAAAGGTTTGAGTTCAAGTCTTATGAATGAAAAAATAGATACGGAGAGAAATTCTTTTTTTTTATGGGGTTTGACATGGCTCGATTTTAAACTAATCAGACTTCAATTTGTTTTTCGAATACTAAGATAATAGTACAAAAAAAATAGTGTATAAAACTTGTATCTAAATGATCCCTTCTCAAAATTTATATTTACCCCTATTTAAACTAATTTCTTTATTAGTTTGTACACATTTTTTTTTTACCAATATGAAAGGTACATGGACTACACACACCAATGTGGTAAGTAATATTTTGATATAATATTGTTGGGGATGTGTTGGTGATGCAAGATGATGAGTCAGCAGTGAACATGATGTGGAGGCCGACTCGGATACCACCCGTAGAGGAACAAGGAAGGCTATTTCATGTGCTGAAAACTACGTGCCATAGGCCATCTTGTTCTACCCAACGGTGATGGTTGACAATAGATTCCTCAGGGAAGTTGCTGAACATAAATTCTCCAACCAAGCCGAGGAGAAGAGGGCTGAACAAAAAATAATAGAATCCCAAGAACTAAGGATGATTACGCAACTAACAAAAAGGTAGCGAGGAAATAGGTGTCATGATAAGGGCAACATGGATGGAGGATACATGAGGGTCAAAGATTACAACTTGAGAATCGCATTTATATATAAAGTATTGCAACATAATAATAATGACAATAAATGCAACCTCTATTATCTTTTCTCTCCCCTCTAAAAAATGGGGAAAAATAATATATACATGTGCAGTGGTATTTTTGTAATTTTTGGGTTGTGCAGTAGCTAATAGGTAGGTTTGGATGAGCTGTCAAGCTTCTAATGGCTCTGGACACTGTTGACAGTTCTTTGGCAATGGCATCATGAATTGCCTAGTGGTTTTAGCAAAGTTTCGCTAGTTCTAACGAAGAACTAGAAATTGAATATTTCTGGTAATTCCTCCAACCATATAAAATCCCATTTTTGAGGAGGTGCTTAAGTGCAGCTGGCAAAAACAACACTTACACAAGAGTTTGGTGGAGTCTCTAGAGTCTGCGCAAGATTTTTGAAAGATTCTACAAGCAAACAGTAATCCTTTCAGTAGTTTCCAAGGTTATGGAATTTGTGCAACCACCCTTGCATTAAATATGACTGCAACTTGTTGATGGTGACCAAAACAACATCTTAGGTTAGTTTTTAACGAGATTTTAAGCCTTTGGTTAGCATCAAAGGGTACTGTTTCGAGAGTCAAGTCCAGTTTCACATCTTCACTGCTCAGCCCTTTTGGACGAAGTCAAGCAACATCGCCACTGCCAAGCTTTACTAGTGTGAATATCTCACTTCACCAAACAGGCAATGTTCACCCATCCATGCCTGCCAAGCCATTACTCCCATAGTTTATCCCAAGTAATTCCCATGAGTTTGGATTTATATGCTTAGGCTTATCTACAATGAGAGTAAGATACAAATGAATATATATTTAAATATTTAAGTGTAAAATGTATGGATATATGTAGCGAAAAAAGATACTCCCTTGTGTATTAAGGAGGATGATGGGGATGAATGTTTGCTATACCCTTTTGCTTGCTGGTCATGGTTGATACTTGTATGATGTTGTCATGTATGGCTGGCATGGTGCCAAGACAAAGAAGAAGCAGCATGGATGTGTGTTGTGATATCGTTGTCCTGAGCCAAGCATCGCTGGTTGATAATATCTACTAACACGTAAAGCATAGAAGATTTATGTTATAAGTCGGGATTATCAGTGATCGATAATTTTGTCCCTTTGTGTGAGAAAATAACAATCTGCATGGCGGTGAGCCATGTAGATATTGCAGGGTTAGCCATGAATAACTTCTCTATAACCAGAGGGGCAACAGTGGTTAGCTTTGCCCATGGTTGGAGCGTAAACTATGTGG